TTCTGTGAGGGAGAATTGAATCTTTCCAGCCTCRGTGCTTTGCCTCTGCACAGCAATTCCCAAGGGAACAGTAACCGGCCTGGAGAATCACAGGGAAGCTCCACCACACTCTCCGCAGCAAATTAACTGACTTGGGGTGAAATTCAGTCATTAGCTTAATGACAAGACAAGAATTAACACCAGTAATAGGTAGCTGAGAGTTTGGCCCCATCACCCTTTGAAAGATGCAGGAAACTTTAAAGAGTTGGTGGGGTCTGGCAAGGAAATCCTGTGGGGGAAAAGTATTTTGGGTGTGACCACCCTGGCAAAGAGGGGAGGTGCCCTCTGTCCTGCTGACAATCAGCCCCACACACCCCTTGCAGAGGTGTTGCCATCARTTCCTGGATTTCCTTCTGCAGGGTWGTTTGGCCTCAGTGCAGCTGCCTTCACACCATATTTAACTCATTCCTCGAGTGGGCTTTGCCCTGTAAAAACCCCACAAAAACCCAAAGCCACGTCCCAGGCACCCAGAGCATCCTCTTGGTTTTGTGCCCTATGAGTCCATGGACTGCAGCCTGGCCTGGGCAGTATTTCAGTCTCTTTGGAATTAAAAAAACACCATCACCCTCAACAGCAATAATGGAAGTTAACAATAGTAATARTAATTATAATAAAACAATTATTAAAATGATATTATTATTTTAAATTATTATAATTTCTATTTTTATACAATATATTAATATATTATATTTATGTTATATAATATATAGATTTATAATATATTGCATTAATGTATCATATATACTTATATTGTATGTTAATATAATGTATTAATATATAATAATAATGATGATAATAATGATAATGATAACGATAATAATAATAATAATAATAATAATAATAATAATAATAGAAAGAAATAGGTATTGTCATCATTGTTACATTCTTCTTCACAGAATCATTTAAGTTGAAAAAGACCTCTAAAATAATCAAGTCCAACCTTTGGCCTTGATGTTTATTATCATTTTTTGGAACTTAGGGCCACATGGGTGCCAAGGAGAAGCCAAGCCCTTCCCTTGAGGTTTAATTGCCYCACTGAAGAAGTTTCAGGGCTGTTTCTCAGCTGTTAAACTGAACAAAGCAAAAGGGCTTCTCAATTTCTCTTCTGCCTGGTAGAAATGGTGAAGGAAAGAGAACCAGAAGAGTTTCCTCTGCTGAGGAGAAGCTTCAAATTTGAGTTTCCCTGGTTCTGCATTTAAATCACCAGGTTTTTCCATGGACTTTATACCACCAGGTCTTGTAGTCTGCTCTCTGCAGGGAGGGATTCCTCTCAAAAGGATTGCTGGCACTTGGGAAAACTTTGGACTCCTCCAAACTCTGCTTGTAAAGATTTATGATCACTGCAACAGAGCAAATATCCACAGAGGTGGAGGGGTTTTTGCTGCTTTTTGTAAATGCAAACGGTTTTCAGGCACAGTGTAGGGAAAACTGCTGGTGCTGGGATGGAGAAACACTAGCCAGTGAGGATTTTAGATTAATAAACCTTCCCCTCACATACAGGATTAGGGTTTCAGAGCTGCTGTGGACGACCCTGCTTCTTTTTACGATCCCAAATGACAGACACAAACTTTTAAACATGTGCAGTCTTGCCTTTTCATTAAAAAACCATCAAAACCTGGCAGTTTATCTGCTCAGGTGACAAATCAGACTTAGAGCAGCCCAGCAGGCTTGGAACAACTCACTCCAGAAATACGATCCAGACAAAGGGGGAAAAAAAATTGGCTGATGAACTGCCTTGAATCACACTGAACACCGGCTGGAAGTTCTGCTCTGCAGCAGCATCTAGTGATGGTTTTGTGCACTGAAAACTCAACCCTTTGGTTTGGATTCGCATGGAGGGAACGGCAGGTGGGAGTGGTGGATGGCTGAGCAGCTCCCTCGAAGCCCAGAAGGGACAAGATTCCAGATGGGAATCTCTAAATGTGGTTTAGCCATGGTCACAAGGTTACAGCTGGACAAGACCAACCCCCTGAACCCCCCTTCTGTACCCTCCAGATGAGCCACTGACCTTGGCACAAGGTTTCATAGTGTTTAATTGAGAGGAAAATGGCTTTAAATGGGTTTGAACTGAAAGAGAGCAGGTTTAGATTAAATACCAGGGACAAATCCGTCCCTGTGAGGGTGGGGAGGCCCTGGCACAGAGAAGCTGTGGCTGCCCCTGGATCCCTGGCAATGCCCAAGTCCAGGCTGGACAGGGCTTGGAGYACCCTGGGATAGTGGAAAGTGTCCCTGCCCATGGCAGAGGGTGG